ACTAGTATGGCTCTCAGTTGAGTACATACCTCCTTATCTTATTAAATGAGTTTTCAGTTCACCAGATCCTCATTTCATTTGGATCTGCACCAAATAAAAGAGGCCACTTTGCAAATCGCACCCACTCACAAATATCAGTTTCCTAAACATGACGTGTCTCCACTTCCTCCCACTGTTGAGATATGAAGCCAGCACATCCTGGATCAGTGTCATAAGTTGAATGAGGATATGAAGATGAACAGGATTGTTTTCATTTCCACGCCCAGAGCTCAGATGTAGCCAGTTGGGGAATTTGTTTTCACCATCTTTAAAGGGTATTTTTCAATATATATATATATGTATGTGTGTTTGTTTGAATGAATGATACTTTAAAAACTGAATGATACTTTAAAAACCTTTGGAAACGGTTCAGTCGATTGCAGTGACACAACAGCATAAGGCGACAATGTAATCCTATGGGGCAACTGCGACAGTCCATGAAATGTCCACTAAAAGTTTTTTCTTTTTTCACCAATAAAATGCTCAGTTTGTGATTGTTTGTTAAGAGTCCAGCATCATTAAACTGTCTGTGGACATATTAATGCCCTGTCCCAATTCTCACCTTAGCCCCACCACGTGGTCCTTCCCCTTTGTTTTGTGCATGATTGTGAATGAGCTGTCGTCCCATTTCTCTTTGTGATATATGGGTAGTGGCCATCTAGTCCTTTACACACCCCTTCAACCGTAGTGTATTCAGGACCTCTACTAAAAACGGAGGGGTAGACATAAATTCTTTAATGTTTTACGACCGGACGAAGCAAATCAACATGGAGGTCGCTGCAGATAAAATGCTCATAAACGTTGGTGTGAAATTCTGCAGAATAACCATGAAACATTTTTAAATCCAGCAGAATATCTTAAGTTTAACCAGGTAGCAAATGAAAACTCCTTTCTCCATCTCTCACTCACGTTTCCATTTTCGTCTCTCCTCGACAACCTCCTCTTTAACTCGGTGAGATCATAGACTGTATATAAAGAGGCTGAGATACAGGGCTTCGGATTTCGAGGAGCTCCACAACAAAGAAGGTCTTTGAACGTCTTTTGCTCCAGGGTTTGTTTGACTGTGTCACTGGAGTTTCTGTTTATTCAATAAAGAAATATTAGTTTATCAGTTGCACAGAGTATAAACGAATGCAGCCTAACGCTTGATGTAGGTTGTATCAATATGTAATCTCTATCTTGAAGCTTTGTGCATCTGTGAGTTCACTAAACAAGTCAAACCAAACTGTGGCTCAGTTCTGAGCTCGTGCTCATGAACATGTAAACAGCAGGCGATTAGTGAGACTTGAGGTTGACGGCTGTTTGTGGAGGTCACACTTTACTTCACCTGCCAGAGGAGAAAATAAAACATAATGTGGGTCGTCGTTTGACTCATTGACACATTTACAGTGAAGCCATGAACAGGAGGATCTTACAGCCGGGGCTGAACAGCAGGAATGATTACACACACACACACACACACACACACACACAAGGTCTTTCCATGTGCACGTGGACAAGTGACTAATCCCTGCAGGAAATAAACAAGACACCTGCTGTTCTACTGGAAATCTTCATCATGTAGATTTCCTGCGCGTGTGTAGCCAGCTCCACACTGATTGGACAGATTCCAAGCAACAGGTAAAGAGCCTGATTGACCTGGTTTTACACACACACACACACACACACACACACACACACACACA